CACAAAGCCACGAAAAAACACATTGTTTCGCGACTTTCCTACCTTTTCGCGCACCTGCATCTTCTTTCTTCTGATCTTTTCTCTTCTGACTCTTCTCCCTGCTGACTGCTTTTTCATCTCTCCATATTGTCGGAAGTTTGGCTTCCAAACTTCCGTCGATAATACCCAACTTTCGCGAAACTTTCGCGAATAAATAAATTTCTGTCGTGAGCTCGCAAAAAAACTTTCGCGAGGGGCAGCATAACATGAACGGTATCCGCAATTAAAACTCTTTTACAAGGACCTTTAGATTAATCACCATATACGTATATATATATATATACATATATATATATACACATATGATTGGTATATCGGTATATGCATATATTTAAGTTCTCTCCGGATTGGAGCTTGGGGCAAATTGGGAACACTACCACGCAACGTAGACATTCGTGTCAATTATGTCCTGAATGATGCAAGGTGTCGCCCTTTTCGCTGGTCTCAGCAAGGTATGCCACCAGCAAAACCAGGGCATTGAGGGTCAAAGCGCCTGGGGCCGGTAATAAAATGCCAAGGAAAGTCATCCCTCAGAGGTGCTTATGTCAAGAGGTGACCAAGACTTTTGCTGAAATCTCGCAGGGGGATTTGTTGTTTTCAATTTTCACCACCGAGCTAGCTCATGATGCATTCCCTTTGAATGAGGGTAGCATCCCAAAGCAACAGCTATGAGCCTGTGATGTGACCAGCAAGGGGGATTTGTCTCCATGTTTCTCCCTGGGACCAGCGGTCGTTCTTGATTCTTCGTGTTGGTTGTTGGTTCTCACTTATTTGGGGTCGTCACTACTTGTATCCCCTTGTGACTTTTTGCCCATGTCTCACATGGTTCTTGCTTGTTAGATCATAATGACTGATTCATGCGGATTTGTCCAGAATTACGTACCTGGAAAAAACGACATGTCAAAACCGACTCCACCACCATGAATCGCTGCTTCTCTGAGGTCGCTGCAGAGGTTGGAACCACCCAAGTCACTCAGACCCAATGGCAAATCGTGAAGCTCAGCAGCCGCCAGGGCCTCATCTGACCAGATGCTGAAACCAACCACGCATTTTGAAAAGCATTCTTGATTGCAAATGCTCGTGGTGGCACGGGAGCGTCGCTTTCTTCATGTTTGCGCATAGTAGATCATAGTAGATTCGCACCCGTGCTTCATTGCTGCAAAAATGATGGGTCCGAGGCCGGGCGTACGTAGCTTAACCCAACCGCGCTATACGCTCTTGACTTCGTAGTGGTCGTGTCCCCGGGTTTGCTAAGAAGATTATGCGTGACAGGTGCAGCACTTCGTATGACCTGGCCTCACTTTTTCGTGCCAGGCACAGTGCTTTAGACAGGTGGAGTGGAAAAATCGCAAAACTCATTGGTACGAGGCCGTCAGCTCTGCATTCAACTTTCCATTTTTGCATGAAGTGAAGTCTCGCAGAATTGCTTTGTTTTTTCCCGAGAGCGTCTGAGCGAAGGGTTCTTCCAATAGTGGGGGTCTGCATCTCATCTTCTCATCTTCACATCTTCTCATCTTCACACCTTCTCATCTTCACATCTGCTCATCTTCACATCTTCTCATCTTCACACCTTCCCATCTTCACATCCTCACATCTTCACATCCTCTCATCTTTACATCTTCTCATCTTCACATCTTCTCATCTTCACAGCTGCTCATCTTCACATCTTCTCATCTTCACACCTTCTCATCTTCACATCCTCACATCTTCACATCTTCTCATCTTCACATCTTCTCATCTTCACATCTTCTCATCTTCACATCTTCTCATCTTCACATCTTCACATCTTCTCATCTTCACATCTTCACATCTTCACATCCTCACATCTTCACATCTTCTCCTCTTGCCCTCTTGCCCTCTTGCCCTCTTGCCCTCTTGCCCTCTTGCCCTCTTGCCCCTCTTGCCCCTCTTGCCCTCTCCTTCTTTTCTATTTCTCTTCTGAAGGCGGGGGCAGGGGCAGTGCCAACGAGACGGCACCGTGCCAACGAGACGGCACGAAACGCAACCCTTTCGCACGAAACGAGGTTCGATCGCCAAAAACTGAGGTAAAATTGCGATTCCCAAGTCGTCCCGCGCAACCCTTTCGCACGAAACGAGGTTCGATCGCCAAAAACTGAGGTAAAATTGCGATTCGAAGGTGTCCGGCGCAACCCTTTCGCACGAAACGAGGTTCGATCGTCAAAAACTGAGGTAAAATTGCGATTTCCGGGTTCCCGTTGTAACCTTTTCGCACGAAATGGAGGTCGATCGCCAAAAACTGAGGGAAAATTGCGATTTCCGGGTTCCCGTTGCAACCCTTTCGCACGAAATGAGGGTCGACCGCCAAAAACTGAGGTAAAATTGCGATTTTTTCTGTGTGTACAAAGCTTCTGTGTGCTGTGTGTGAAAGCTTCTGTGTGTAAAAGCATCTGTGTAAAAGGGTGTCTGCTTAAAAGCTTCTGTGTGCTCTGTGTCAAAGTGTCTGTGTGTCAAAGCGTCTGTGTGTAAAAGTTTCTGTATGTAAAGGTGTCTGTGTGTAAAAGCTTCTGTGTGTAAAAGCGTTTGTGTAAAAAGCGCCTGTGTAAAAGCTTCTGTGTGTACAATCTTCTGTGTGTAAAAGCCTCTTTGTGTAAAAGCTTCTGTGGGTAAAAGCTTCTGTGTGTAAAAGCCTCTGTGTGTAAAAGCGTCTGTGTGTAAAGCCGTCAGTGTGTAAAAGATTCTGTTGTGTAAAATCTTCTGTGTGCAAAAGCCTCTGTGTGTAAAAGCGTCTGTGTGTAAAGCCGTCTGTGTGTAAAAGTTTCTGTTGTGTAAGAGTGTCTGTGTGTGTCAAAGCGTTTGTGTGTAAAAGTGTCTGCGTGTAAAAGCGTGTGTGTGTAAAAGTGTCTGTGTGTAAAAGTGTCTGTGTGTAAAAGCTTCTGTTGTGTATAAGTGTCTGTGTCAAAGCGTTTGTGTGTAAAGTGTCTGCGTGTAAAAGCGTCTGCGTGTAAAAGCGTCTGCGTGTACAAGCGTCTGCGTGTAAAAGTGTCTGTGTGTAAAAGCGTGTGCGTGTAAAAACGAGTGCGCGCGCGTGTGTGTGTGTGTGCGTAAATAAGTCTGTGTGTGGAAATGCTCTCAGAATGACCGAACTGTGTGGTCCAAAAGCGTCTGTGTGTAAAAGTCTCTGTGTGTAAAAGCGTTTGTGTGTAAAAGCTTCTGTGTGTAAAAGCGTCTGCGTGTAAAAGCTTCTGTGTGTAAAAGCGTCTGTGTGTAAAAGTGTTTGTGTGTAAAAGTGTTTGTGTGTAAAAGTGTCTGTGTGTAAAAGCGTCTATGTGTAAAAGCTTCTGTGTGTAAAAGCTTTTGTGTGTAAAAGCGTCTGCGTGTAAACACTTCTGTGTGTAAAAGCTCTTGTGTGTAAAAGGGTCTTTGTTAAAACTGTCTGTATGTAAAAGCGCCTGTGTGTAAAAGTGTCTGTGTGTAAAAGTGTCTGTGTGTAAAAGTGCCTTGTGTGTAAAAGCGTCTGTGTGTAAAAGTGTCTGTGTGTAAAAGCGCCTGCCTGTAAAAGCTTCTCTGTGTAAGGGGTTCTCTGTGTAAAAGCTTGCTGTGTGTAAAAGCTTCTGTGTGTAAAAGTGTTTGCGATGCAAACTATTGTCTTGTACTTATGCTATATTGTCTTGATACTCCTCTTCTTGACTGCCTATAACCTATCTTTAATATATTGTTTTGTAATATGGTGTCTCCATACTAGCAAGAGAAGACCCTGCTCCTCTACGCTCTCGGGCCATCCGTCGTCTAGTGATGTTGTCATCTTCGAACAATGAGGAAGCCTCGCAGATTTTTTTCATTTTTGACGTTGTCAAGTTCAAGAATTAAGAAGGTCTAGCAGAATTGCTGCGTTTTTACGCTTGCAGACAGACAGAAAGAAAGATAGATAGGCAACAACAACTACAACTACCACTACACTACACTACCACTACAACTACACATGCAAATATATAATACGCTACGCTACATTACACCACACTAATTCAACTACACTACACAAATTACATCTACTTACATCTAATTACATCCAATCACACTACACTACACTAGTTGCATCTAATTACACCTCAACTACAACAACTACAGCTGCTACTGCTACTACTACTGCTACTGCTACTACTACTGCTACTACTGCTGCTGCTACTGCTACTACTGCTACAACTACTGCTGCTACTGCTACTACTGCAACTGCTGCAACTACTGCAACTACTGCAACTGCTGCAAATACTGCAACTACTGCAACTACTGCAACTACTGCAACTACTGCTACTACTGCTACTACTGCTACTACTGCTACTACTACTACTACTACTACCACTACTACGACGACGAGTACTACTACTACGACGACGACGACGACTACTACTACTACTACTACTGCTCTACTACTACTACAATAACAACAACAACAACAAAAACAACAACAACAACAATTAAAGGACCGGATAACCCCACATGTCAACTTCTTCCAACAAGCAGCAAAAGAAAGGTAAAGATAGCATGGGGAAAGCAGGAAAGAGAAAAGAGATGGTGAAGGATTGGTGCGGAGCAAGTTGTGTGTGGAAGATTAAGTACGAGTGATTGATTTGCATCCAAATAGAAGGCAAGCTAGATAAACAATACTGAACACACTAATCCAATAACATCAAGTCGCCTCAGACAGCGCCAGCTCTTTCGCAATAACATCCACGTATAGACCGGTATGAGTAAGTTGTGTATGCATGTATGCATGTATGCATGTATGTATGTATGCATGTATGTACGAATGTATGTATGTATGTATGTATGTATGTATGTGTGTATGTATGTATGTCTGTATGTATGTGTGTATAACATCCACGCAAAGTAACAATCGATGTCGTCAAGTGCCACGCCTGCCACACAAAGCGAAGGTAGATGTCACGAAGTGCCACGCCTGCCACACAAAGTGAAGGCAGATGTCTCGAAGTGCCACGCCTGCCACGCAAAACGCCGCGGCGTCACGGCGCCATGGCTGACCAAGCGCGCCGCCAGAGCCAACCCAGTGCCATAAGTGCCACGCCTGCCAAGCAAAGTAACAATCCATATCATCAAGTGCCAAGCCTGCCACGCAAAGTGACGGTGGATCGAACGTAGCTGTCACAAAGTGCCACGCCTGCCACACAAAGTGAAGGCAGATGTCACGAAGTGCCACGCCTGCCACGCAAAACGCCGCGGCGTCACGGCGCCATGGCTGACCAAGCGCGCCGCCAGAGCCAACCCAGTGCCATAAGTGCCACGCCTGCCACGCAAAGTAAGAATCGATGCCGTCAAGTGCCACGCCTGCCACACAAAGGGAAGGCAGATGTCACGAAGTGCCACGCCTGCCACACAAAGTGAAGGCAGATGTCTCGAAGTGCCACGCCTGCCACGCAAAAGGCCGCGGCGTCACGGCGCCATGGCTGACCAAGCGCGCCGCCAGAGCCAACCCAGTGCCATAAGTGCCACGCCTGCCAACAATCGATGTCGTCAAGTGCCACGCCTGCCACGCAAAGTAACAATCGACGTCGTCAAGTGCCACGCCTGCCACACAAAGTGAAGGTAGATGTCACGAAGTGCCACGCCTGCCACGCAAAACGCCGCGGCGTCACGGCGCCATGGCTGACCAAGCGCGCCGCCAGAGCCAACCCAGTGCCATAAGTGCCGCGCCTGCCACGCAAAGTAACAATCGATGTCACAAAGTGCCACGCCTGCCACACAAAGTGAAGGCAGATGTCACGAAGTGCCACGCCTGCCACGCAAAACGCCGCGGCGTCACGGCGCCATGGCTGACCAAGCGCGCCGCCAGAGCCAACCCAGTGCCATAAGTGCCACGCCTGCCACGCAAAGTGACGATCCATGTGTTGACAATTGTGTGTGAGTAAGTTGTGTGTGAGCAAGTTGTGTGTGTGCAAGTTGTGTGTGAGCAAGTTGTGTGTGTGCAAGTTGTGCGTGGACAAGTTGTGTGTGGGTAAACAAGTTGTGTGTGGACAAGTTGTGTGTGGGTAAACAAGTTGTGTGTGAGTAAGTTGTGTGTGTGCAAGTTGTGTGTGAGCAAGTTGTGTGTGTGCAAGTTGTGTGTGGACAAGTTGTGTGTAAACAAGTTGTGTGTGTGCAAGTTGTGTGTGAGCAAGTTGTGTGTGTGCAAGTTGTGTGTGGACAAGTTGTGTGTAAACAAGTTGTGTGTGAGTAAGTTGTGTGTGTGCAAGTTGTGTGTGGACAAGTTGTGTGTAAACAAGTTGTGTGTGAGTAAGTTGTGTGTGTGTGCAAGTTGTATGTAAGCAAGTTGTATGTGAGTAAGTTGTGTGTGTGTGCAAGTTGTGTGTGGACAAGTTGTGTGTGAGCAAGTTGTTGTGTGCGACGGGAGCGGGAGGAGGAGGAGGAGGCGGACGGGATGCAGAACCAAAAACAAGAACCCCACGCAAAGATGTGGGGAACAATCCATATCATCAATCATCAAGTGCCACGCCTGCCACACAAAGTGACGGTGGATCGAACGTACCACACAAAGTGAAGGCAGATGTCTCGAAGTGCCACGCCTGCCACGCAAAACGCCGCGGCGTCACGGCGCCATGGCTGACCAAGCGCGCCGCCAGAGCCAACCCAGTGCCATAAGTGCCACGCCTGCCACGCAAAGTAATAGCAATCGATGTCGTCAAGTGCCACGCCTGCCACACAAAGTGAAGGCAGATGTCACGAAGTGCCACGCCTGCCACACAAAGTGAAGGCAGATGTCTCGAAGTGCCACGCCTGCCACGCAAAAGGCCGCGGCGTCACGGCGCCATGGCTGACCAAGCGCGCCCGCCAGAGCCAACCCAGTGCCATAAGTGCCACGCCTGCCACGCAAAGTAACAATCCATATCATCAATCATCAAGTGCCACGCCTGCCACACAAAGTGACGGTGGATCGAACGTAGATGTCACAAAGTGCCACGCCTGCCACACAAAGTGAAGGCAGATGTCACGAAGTGCCACGCCTGCCACGCAAAACGCCGCGGCGTCACGGCGCCATGGCTGACCAAGCGCGCCGCCAGAGCCAACCCAGTGCCATAAGTGCCACGCCTGTCACGCAAAGTGACGATCAGTGTGTTGACAATTGTATGTGAGCAAGTTGTATGTGAGGAAGTTGTGTGTGAGCAAGTTGTGTGTGAGCAAGTTGTGTGTGGACAAGTTGTGTGTAAACAAGTTGTGTGTGCGTAAGTTGTGTGTGTGAGTAAGTTGTCTGTGAGCAAGTTGTGAGTGTGCAAGTTGTGTGTGAACAAGTTGTGTGTAAACAAGTTGTGTGTAAACAAGTTGTGTGTGAGTAAGTTGTGTGTGTGCAAGTTGTGTGTGAGCAAGTTGTGTGTGTGCAAGTTGTGTGTGGACAAGTTGTGTGTAAACAAGTTGTGTGTGAGTAAGTTGTGTGTGTGCAAGTTGTGTGTGGACAAGTTGTGTGTAAACAAGTTGTTGTGTGCGACGGGAGCGGGAGGAGGAGGAGGAGGCGGAGGGGATGCAGAACCAAAAACAAGAACCCCACACAAAGATGTGGGGAACTACTACTACTACTACTACTACTACTGCTACTGATGCTACTGATGCTACTGATGCTACTGATGCTACTGATGCTACTACTACTACTACTACTACGACCACTACTACTACTACTACTACCACTACTACTACTACTGCTGCTGCTGCTACTACTACTACTACTACAACTACATTTACAACTACGCTACATTACACTACACTACGCTACACTACACTAATTACACTGCAATACATTGCGACTACAATTACAACTACTACTACACTAATTGCATGACATTACACTACAACTACGGCTACAACTGCAACTGCAACTACCACTACACTACACTAAAACTACTACTACAGCTGCACTACACCACACTACATCCAGCAGTTGTGGTGAGGTGACCACTGCAACCATGGCAAGCACTCCAAAAAACACAAGTCCAGCATAGTCCAGCCACCTTTCAGTTCACTAGTGGATTCGCTCTGCCATCCATGCACCGCAACAACCCACCTCTCCTATAGTGTCCTATCCTTGAAACTTCCGCCACAGCCTTGTGCGGTACAACAAAACCATCACGTTTTGCTCACTTTTGACAACGTGCAGAATCCCTTGTGCCTGCCACGCAAAACGACATCTGAACGTCCAAAAGCTCCGAACCCGTCAGTTTTTTACACTTTTGACTCTGCAATGTGCTTCGCGCCACAACGGCGTGCACTTTTTCGACACCTCAACTTCCAAAAGTGGTCCGGACCTGGTGTGCTTTGTACATTTTGACTTGGAAACGCGCTTCGCGCCACAACGGCATGCACTTTTTTGACATCTCAACTTCCAAAAGTGATCCAAACATGAGGTGTTTTGTGCAGTTTGGCATTGAAATGTGCTTCGCGCCACAACGGCGTGCAATTTTTCATCTCTCATCTGGCCAGATGGCTCTGCACCCGCCGCTTTAGCAAGCCTACCTTCCGACACATATCATTGGAAAAACACAGTGAAGTGCGACGTTTCTACTTTTTCGCGTGCCTGCATCTTCTTTCTTCTCACTCTTCTCTTCTCTGATCTTCTCTCTTCTCCTCTTCTCCTCTGACTCTTCCCACCTCTGCTTTTCCATTTGTCCATAGTCGGAAGTTTGACTTCTAAACTTCCTTCGATCACTAGTTGCCCCAGTGTTGCCAAGCCTTTTCTCCTTGGAATTGTTGGCTTGGCACAGCATCATCAGCATCTCTGAGTTGCTTTGCCATAAGCGATCGACCAATTTCTTCCACCCGATTACATTCCAATGCATTCCAGCATTGCATTTCTGTTGAAGAGTATGCCAAGTATGCAGGCCCCAGGCCATCAACGAAGCTTGCAGTGAGTCTTGGCAGGAGAGGAACATCTGCCATATCAGGAGCGCTATTCCCCAGCGCCTCAGTGGTTTCCGCAGCCCAACGGTGGACAAAACAGAACTACTTCGCTGAGGATTGAGCGAGTAGAGTTGCTGCTGACATCTCCGGAGATAGTCGCAGGTACTTGCTCCAAAAGAACCTTCGCTTCGAATTTGAATGTCAGAGATGGTGGGAAGCAAGTCTTCTCATCAAAAGCCACGGTGCACACATGTCAGCATTCCCTGCGCTGAACTTTACTCGTTAAATGGGTCATTAATAAACATGGTTCAATACAAGAAGTAAGACCAAAACCGTGAAAATCTATTGTGCCCAAGTCTTGAGATCAATCGCGCCTTGATCACAAAACCCCCAGCATGCGACACGGCAACAGCTGCTTGACAATTTCTACATCTCTCTACCGGAGGCACAAAACTGGTAGGAAGAACGCTCGCGTGGTGTCCATCATCAGCCAAGTCAGTACGACCGCTATGAGGATGATGCCCGCAGCTAAGAGTTGAGGCCTGGAAAGTTCCCAAAGGTGGCTAGGAACATCTAGGAACCCTGGATTTTAGCATCTTGTAAAATAGTGCAACTTGCAACCAACAATTTTTGAGGATCGAATGCAGGGGAATGCGGGGCACTGATGGCGAATCATACTTGCACAGCCCAGCCAATTTTTTTCTTTACGGTTCTATCGATCATATTCCAAAACATCACTGAATCTCTGGAAAAAAGGCCTTGGTGATTGAGCACTTGCTACCTTTGGGGTTCTCATAGTTGATTGCAACTCATTGCGACTCCTATCAAGACCTTTGTCGGCGGTGGCCTGCTGGAAGCCCTCAGGACCGCGTAATGGTTCAAGAAAATCCCATCACATTGCGGGCCTAGGTGTGGTTGGTTGGTTGGATGGGAGATGCCAAGCGCACAGATTGATGTCACCTTCATTTGTCTTGGGAAGCCTCGGGCATTGACACCACGGACTCGTTTCGACGGGGCTTATCCTCTCTCAAAAAACTTGCCAAATCAGTCCAAATCATACAAGACGCTCGGGGCTCAGCACCAAGCACCAAAAAGATTCAGCGCGTCCCGATGCGTGTCTACGAGTCTACAGCTATCTGTCTGCCAAAAAAAATAATGCGACGAGCAAGAGCATCGTTCCTCGACCCAAGGCAAGTGGTTGGTTCAAGCACAGACCTGGGCATTTGTTGAAAGACAGGCCGCAATCATCTTCAAGCTCGTCAGAGTGAGTACCATTCATCTGCGGCAGCAAGCCAACCTTTGATGTCAGCAGGAATGCATCTTGGATGTGGCTCTCCATCACTTCATCACACGAAAATGGGCATCGCAGCCAAGGCTCCGATTTGCTTGGTCGGGCTGCCCTGCAATAGCAGTATTGATGCGGATTGCACGGTCATTGGAATGGTGCTGAAGGGAAAGGGACCATGGGCCAAGCGCGCAGCAGCAAACACCACAGTGTTGACATCATAATACCAAATACAGTAGTTGCCACGACAACAAATCAAACTTTGGTGGCTGGCTTTACTAGCCACAATCACTTGGAAGCCTTTTGGGACTTGATGGGGCTTGAAAGCACTGGGGGTTGTCAAGTAGTAATTCACCCAACCACTGCCAGCAGTTGCCTATCAACAGCCACTTTTGGGTTTGGCCGTACAGCATGTGCAGGTGGCAGAAGGCATAGACAAAGAAGACAAAGAAATGACCGGCGCCGTGACCACCTCGGCATGAATCAGCACTGGTGAGAAAAACATCATGTAAAATCTGTGGATTCAGGTCAAGAACATTTGACCCGTAGCCATTGATTGTTTACTTTAGGAGTGGGAAACATTCTACTCGGGACCCTGCTTGCATTTTTGACCTACTGCTGTCTAGCGGTGAGCTCGTTTCAACAGTCTGAAGGCCCGTCGAAGCCGAGGCAAGCGCAGTTTCCATGTGTGATGCCATGTCATGCTGCATAAACTGGGAAGGAAACTTGGCTACTCTTGGCTACTCTTGGTTCCGATTCATTATCGAATGGAATTCTCAAACAACAACAGCCATTGGTTTCCACTCGCATCCATTGATCAAATTTCTCAGGGCAAGGTTGCCAGTTCCTTACTTACACTCTCAGTGGGCAAGCTCTGGCTTTGCCAGTCTAGCCCATGAGGAATGGATTTTCAAACTACCTGCGGGAAACAGCTGTGGCTGACTACAGCCGCTTAAGCCCACACATATTGGCGTCTATCATTTCTCTGTTTGTCAGCTATGGTTTTTCAATTCTAGCTAAACAAAACCTATGGAGGGATACGCTTCAAAAATGGCATGCGTGACGTATGTTCCCCGGCAACCCGGAAAGAATGGCACGCTTTCAGAATTGGGGGGCCCTAGCGGTCTCCAATTTTTTGGTCGTACCGAAACTTCCAGCATGTCACCGTAGACCCAAAGACCCGGCGCTTTCCATTCAGGTCGCAACTTTTGAGTTCTCAGTTCTCGCAATTCTGGGTTCCGGATCCAAGATCTGCAGATTTATCCACTCAAGGATTGATTTGGACAATCATTCGGACGGACAGAGAAGGCAATGAAATCACTTCCTCTCCCGGAGAGCCCGCGGCCCCCAAGTCCAGCAGCCGGGTCTACGTTTTTGGGGTTTAGCTCACTGTTTTGATCGTGCCCTTGATGTCAGTTGGCGAGTTTTTGGGCGTGCTTTTCGGCGTCCTTCTCTCGAGGTCCTCACCTCAGGTTTCGCTTCCTCCACGTGCTGGGGATTGGGGATCCGCTTGAGAGGTGGCCTGAAAAGGAAGGAACACAATAATGAGAATACTGGTTTCATCATCCAATCTGTCGTGAACCCCCTGCAGACGGTAGCAGCTAACCTGAAAACAACATCAGACCATCATTGCAGTGCAGGTGAGTCTCCCACATTGAGTGGCTTTGCCCAAACATGTTTTGTCGATTAACATCCCTTGCTTTTCGTCGATTGTAGCTGATGTCCCCGAATGAGCAAACACGAGAAAAACATCACTCGGAGTCCCTTCCCCAAGTGGCTATAGGACGCGCGCACGTAGAACCAAATGCTGGCTGAAAGTGTTCCTTACAGCTGAGGGTCGTTTTCATGGTAAACATTGTTGAATACGTTTGCTATTTTTTGGGAACTATGCCAATCCATCCAAGTGTGCCCTACTTCCCTAAATTCATCTACCTACCGCTCCTTGCAATCAACTTTGAACGGACCGAGTGTCTACCTATATACAAATGTCGGTCCCACAGTATGGTCGTGCTGCAGTGGTCAGGCCGAGAATCCAAGCACAGCAACGCTTATCCATGGAGCCGAATGATGGACGTCCTGTTCCAGTTCTCCACGGGTGGCACAAGTTGCGACACAGGGCGGCAATGATGGGCGTATATGTAAAAATCCGCCGGCCTGCAGGCGTGTTTTGTGGATGTTCTTGTTACAAAACCTTGTAGTAGATGTGCCCAACCCCTCCCTCCCCCCTCACCCCACCTCCCGCCCTTCATCCTTCATCTTCATCCTCGCCCTCCAACCTCTTCATCATCATCCTTCATCCTCTTCTGCAGCTTCCCTTCCTCTTCCTTGTCCGCCTTCCTCTTCTTCCTTCTTCGGCATTATCCCATCTCCGTCCTGTCTTTCCATTTCTCCGGCCGGCCCTAGGGTGCTGCATTTGTCCACATTTTCTCAATGTTTTAGTGCGTGTTCAAGCAACAGCGAGCTACAACAAATAGTTTTTGCGCCACCCAATTTTACACCACCTGCCTTTAAAGCGATCAAGGTGCTACGCCTCCCAGCTTTTGCGCAAGATGGTTTTTATGCAAATCAGTTTTTACACAAACTAGTTTTGACGCAAGCTATTTTCTTACACCAGCTATACCGTGCATACAAACTAGCTTTTGAACAAATCTACTTTTCTACAAAAATCAAGTTCTACATCAGCTAGCCTTAAGAAATCTAGCTTTCCACCATCGAGCTCGTACACCAAGTGCCTTTTCCACAAACTAGCTGTTACACAAACTAGTTTTTACACCAACCCGCTTTTGCACAAACTAGCTAGCTTTACAGAAACCAACTTTTGACCCACCAGCTTTTGCGCCAACCAGTTTTTACACAAACTATATAGTGTTTACACCACGACACCGTTACATCAACAAGCAGAAGACGTGTTATGATTCTACAGGCCCCCCATCACTCACATCCATTGAGCTATTGGGTCAGGGGCTGGCGAGATAGCCGGAGGCTTTTAAATAGAACGTGTGTAATGATATAGAAACCGCGGTCGGGAACTTAGAACGGGAAAAATCCTTTGGGCAAAAATGCCAGTCGCATTTTTTTTGACTGAAAAAAGCGCCTGCGTAACAACACCCACTTGGCGGTTCTGTTTTGCCTTACGTCAGGATCACCGATAGCACCCCTGTAATATGGTAGAAAAGCTTGCGATTCAGAATTATTTACCATTCATTTTCATGGAAACCCTACAACACAGAATGGCACGCAACCTTTTCATGGACCCCATAGCAGTGTGTAGTCATTTTTTGCAACGTGTCTCAGCACAAATGAAACAATCAAAACGCAAAACTTAAAAAACTCCTAAAACCGGTTTTCCCAAAGGAAAGGGAAAAAGGAACATGAAAGAAAGAAACATGAAAGGTAGCTGCAAGGCAACTGAAAGGAACGTGAAGAGAAAAGAAAGGATTGTCAACCGGCAGTGGCAAGACAAAGGATAAGTATGCGCTGTAAAAAATTATATGGTACGTCAATTTTCTGTACTCTTTACCACAACAGGCATTCTAGTTTCAGCACCCCTCAGCACATGAAAGCACTTTGACAACTAACAAATGCGAAAACCAATGATAAAACATAAAATGCGTTGAACGTGTACTGAAACGATAGCTGACAAAATACGTAAGAAAACACATTGAAAACGAGACGGCGCAAAGAAACAATTCAAAATCATCATGCAAAAACAAAAAGCGAAAGATAAGAAAACCAACGAAAGAAAACGAAAGGACCCTGCAAATATATGAATTGCACATGAAAAGGAAAACCGCTACATGAGCTGCATCCGTGAATTTCCATATCTTAAAGGCATCCTAAGTTTAGCACCCAAACCTGAAAACGCATCGAAAACAAACGCAGTTACACAAGTACATTAATGATTGCCCTTTTTTTCCGCTGATGATTTCATCATTTTCATGGATATGTTGAATTAATCCCTTCCCCCTATAACTAACCCCACCGCATAATAAAAACTAGGGTCCATCTCCAATTTTGGAAAATTTCAGATTGGCCAATTGGGCTTTTAATTGGCCCCTTTAGAAAACAATTTAAAAATAAAGCTGCCATGTGTGGGTTTCGCCCCCTTATAATAAAAACTAGTCAGCCCCGGGGTGTTTTTCTCCAGAACAGGCCACTGTGGGAGTGCGCCAATTGCAGCATTTCCTGTGCAAAGATCCAACAGCATATGGCGCAACCGGACAAAATTGAATTCCATTCCTCTCTGCTGTTCATTGGCTGAATGCACTATGTCATAGCAAACATTGCTGTACTGTGGTGTATCGACCTTGCTTCTAGTGCAACCACTGACAGTGCCTGGCAATCTCTGCTTGGCACATCTGCAATGGCTATCCAAACCAAAAAACCAAAAAACCAAAAAACCAAGAAACCAAAAAAACCAAAAACCAAAAAACCAAAAAACCAAAAAAACAAAAAACCAAAAAAACAAAAAAACAAAAAACGAAAAAACCAAAAAACCAAAAAAAACAAAAAAAACAAAAAGACAAGACCCAACACTCTGCATCTGACCCCCTCCCCTTGGGGTGTGCAATCTTGGTTTTTTTGTTTTTTTTGGTTTTTTGGTTTTTTGGTTTTTTGGTTTCTTGGTTTTTTGGTTTTTTGGTTTTTCCATGGTTTTTTGCAGTTTGGCCAAAACCTCGAGAACAAAAAAAAAAAAAGTTCAGACCCATGGGCAAGGCCTGTGCTATCCACACACAAACCAAAAAACCAAAAAACCAAGAAACCAAAAAACCAAAAAAACAAAAAAAACAAGATTACACACCCCAAGGGGAGGGGGTCAGATGCAGAGTGTTGGGTCTTGTCTTTTTGGTTTTTTTGTTTTTTTTGGTTTTTTGGTTTTTTGGTTTTTTGTTTTTTTGGTTTTTTGGTTTTTTGGTTTGTGTGTGGATAGCCCAGACCTTGCCCATGGGTCTGATTTTTTTTTTTTGTGTTCTTGAGGTTTTGGCCAAACTGCAAAAAACCATGGAAAAACCAAAAAAACAAAAAAAAAGAAAAAAGTTCAGACCCATGTCCCCTGCCAGGCCTCTCCCCAGACCTTGCCCATGGGTCTGAACTTTTTTTTGTGTTTTTTCCATTGTTGTTTTGAATGTTTTTCATGTGAAGATGCTTTCATCACAGTACCTCTCAAAAAAATGCGCGTCTCTACAATTTGCACACCTGCGCCCCCCAGGCCAAACTGCAAAAAAAACCATGGAAAAACCAAAATTCATTTAATGACTTATATAATGACTAATAAAGTGATTAATATAATGATTAATGTAATGACTTTTTTTCATGAATATAATGACTAATATAATGATTAATATAATGATCAATATAATGATTCATAAAATGATCAACATCATGATTATTATAATGATTAATAAAATGATTAATTTACTGATTATTAAAATGAAGAGTTTAATGATTAATATCATGATTATTATCATGATTCATATAATGATTAATGTAATGGTTCATATAATGCCTAATGCAATGACTAATATAATATAATGATTCATATAATGATAAATATAATGATTCATTTCATGATTCATTTAATGATGTTTATAATGACTAATATAATGATTAACAAAATGATTAATGTAATGATTTATGTAATGGCTGAAATAATAATTCATTCATTGACTAACATAATGATTAATATCATGATTCATAGAATGATAAATATAATGATTAATATAATGGTTCATTTAATGATAGATAGAATTATTCATTGCATGATTCATGTAATGACTTTTATAGTGACTAGTATCATGATTATATTTAAAGAATGCTTAATATAATGATTACTATTATGATGAATACAATGATTAATATCATGAGCAAAATACTGACTAATTTAATGAATTTATATATAATGAGTAATGTAATGATTAATAAAATGATTAATAAAATGATTAATATAATGATTCATTTAATAACTAATATAATGATAAATGCAATGGCTAATATAATGAATGTTATAGTGATTAGTATAATGATTGATTTAATGATTAATATATTAATTAATATAATGATTGAACCATCATATAATGACTAATAAAATGATCAATATAATGATTCATAAAATGATCAACATCATGATTATTATAATGATTAATTTAATGATTAATTTAATAATTATTAAAATGAAGATTTTAATGATTAATATCATGATTATTATCATGATTCATATAATGATTAATGTAATGGTTCATATAATGCCTAATGCAATGACTAATATAATTAATATAATGATTAATATAATGATTCATATAATGATAGATATAATGATTCATTTCATGATTCATTTAATGACTTTTATAGTGACTTTTATAATGACAAAGATAATGATTAATATAATGATTTTTGTAATGGCTGATATACTTGATAATTTATTGACTAATATAGTGATTAATATAATGATATATATAATGACTAATATAATGATTAATAAAATGATTAATATAATGAATTATTTAATAACTGATATAATGATGATTCATTTCATGATTCATTTAATGATTAATTTAATGATTCATATAGTCATAAATATAATGATTCATATAATGATAAAAATAATGACTTATATAATGACTAATATAATGACTAATATAATGACTAATATAATGATTAATGTAATGACTGCATGGGAAAAGTGCACTCCCACAGCGGCCAGCTCTCTTTTTCCTCGGGTCCATCCGAAAATTTTGAATTTTCTTTGTTAAAGCTTCTAATTTATTAGAAGGGCCCGTTTCGAAAACCAATTTTTGGCAACATTTTAATTGCGTTATACAAGGAAATTTAATTGATTTTGAAATCGTTTTTTTTAATATTAAGGTTTCAAATTTATTAATAGGATCCGCTTCGACATCTAAGTTTTGGCAATGTTTTTCATTGCGTTATAAAATGAATTTTAATTGATTTTGAATGCGGGCAAAAAAATATTTTATTAATATAGTTATTAATATGCACGTTTAAAATTTATTAATAGGGTCCGCTTCGAATTCAAATTTTTGGCAAATATTTTAATTGCCTTATACAAGGAAATTTAATTGATATCGAAAAAGTAATTTTGACTATAAAGGTTTTAAATTTATTAATAGGGTCCGCTTCGAAATCCAAATATTGGCAATATTTTTTCATTGCGTTATAAAATGAAATTTAATTGATTTTGACCTCGGACAAAATTATTAGTACTATTATTAAACTTTCAAATTTATTAATAGGGTCCGTTTCGAATCCAATTTTTTCGCTATATTTTAATTGCGTTATTAAAGGAAATTTAATTGATTTTGAAATCGAAAAATAGTTTTTAATCTTAATGTTTCAAATTTATTAATTGGGGTCGCTTCGAATTCCAATTTTGGCAATATTTTAATCGCGTTATAAAAGGAAATTTAGTTTATTTTGAAATCGGAAAAAATAAAAACTACCTGAAGTGTTTATTATTTAGGGGGTTAGTTTTAGGGGGAAGGGATTATTGAAACAAACTTCTTCATGTTGTCATGCATTTTCAAAGTTCATAAGTTTCGAGGTTAAACTTAGAAGGCCCTCTTGGGGCCTTTTGGTATGTAGAAAATTGCCTTCTTTCTCGAAGGATTTCACAAAATGGCATCGAAACCCTCCAGCTTTCAACGCGCGCCCTTTCGCTATGCAGAACCTTCTTGAAAACTCCACGGGCCCCAAAGAGGGCGCAGCTGCTTTCTACTAGAACTGGTGCCAAGAAACTCATTCAAAATAAAAGGCAAAGAAAGGATAACGGCATGTAACATGAGGACAAAGGGAGGAACATTACAGGACAAAGAGAGGAAACAGGAAGGACAAGGGAAGGAACCTGAAAGGGACATTACACTAACATGCAGGGAAAAATGAAAGTAGCTGAAAATTAACAGACAAGAGAGGAATTTTTTGGGAAAGCAAGAAAATGGAACTGGATCCGTTTTTGATCGGGCCTACCGGCTTGCCACATTACTTTCAAGGACTAGATATGTGATATCTATCGTATTTGGGCGCAGTTGCGCGTTAAGTTTTAATATTCTGGATCATGTTCATTGCTTTTCCCTGCCTTTCGAAGAAATATACATATGATATATGCGGGTGTTGAGTAATTATAAATTTGCTCGGAGGCCTTCTAACTGCAGGGCATTTTAAGTTGCACCGGATCATCTTTTACATTTTTGCTCAATTCTAAGTTCTAAACTGCAGCAAAAAATATTGTAATATGACCTATACGAGACAATATATAATGTAAAAAAATAAATAAATATATACATATATATATATATCTAATCTTAAATAAAAAACTATATATATATATGAAATGTAAAATATCGTATAGAATGTATAATATATAGGTAAATAAATAAATAAATATATATATATACATACATATATAATACAATAAACATCATGTAAATTACAAATACCAAATGTAACATACATTATATAAATATTGAATTAAAGGACAGGATAACCCCTCAAGCCAACTTCTTCCAATAATGAGCAACAAATGTTGTAGAGAGGACGGGGAAGGAAGGAAAGACAAAGGAGGTGGTGGAGGATCGAGAAGTAAAACTTTACAGTAAAACAAGTTGTATGTGAAGAGTTGTGTGTGACAAAGTGGTATGTGAAAGATGGTGCGCGACAAAGAAAATGGTGTAGTGACAAAGTTTTGTGTGAAAGGTGTGTGTGAAAGTTGTGTGTGAAAGATGGTATGTGACAAAGTGGTGTGTGAAAGATGGTGCGTGGCAAAAGAACAATGTGCGGGGTCCCAAGATGCCGTGCAGAGACATCAAAGCATGTCACTTACAGCTGTGACTGCGCAAAACGAAAAGTTCGTTGCTGGATAACAGAATGTAAACCGGCACAAAACATGAACTGAGTTCAAGCTAGGCACTGACATGCGGCATCACTGCGGACTTTTTTTTTTGCCAGCGCTCCAATGTCATCTGCTTGGCATCCGATTTCTTGCCACGGTGGGTCAAAATCGAAACGCATCGATTCAAGGCAGGTCTGGGTGACGGAGGCCTTGTCATGTGCAGAAGAACTCACAGCTGCAAAAGAACAATGTGCAGGGTCCCAAGATGCCGTGCAGAGACATCAAAGCATGTCACTTACAGGTGTGACTGCATAAAACGCAAAGTTCATTGCTGGATAAGAAAAATGTAAACCGGCACAAAACATAAACTGAGTTCAAGCTAGGCACTGACATTTCTGCTTGGCATCCGATTTCTTCCCACGGTGGGTCAAAATCAAAACACGACACGAGTCTTCATGAATGGATGAAAGGCGAACTCCGATGAAAGCCGCGCCTGTCCTACAGCCACGGGTTCGACGACAATGACAGATCGGAAAAGTACCTGGCCGCAAGAGTACACAACACGTATGTAGCTCGTTGTCAATGCAACTATGAACGCAACCGCAATATATCTAGACACAGAGCGCACGCATTTCAAGTTCCACTCAAAGGCGTCTTCTGTTCGTGCACAACGGCGAACTCCGATGAAAGCCGCGCCTGTCCTACAGCCACGGGTCCGACGACGATGGCAAATCGGAAAAGTACCTGGCCGCAAGAGTACACAACACGTATGTGGCTCGTTGTCAATGCAACTATGAACGCAACTACAATATATCTAGACACAGAGCGCATGCATGTCAAGTTCCACTCAAAGGCGTCTTCTGTTAGTGCACAACGGCGCACTCCGATGAAAGCCGTGCCTGTCCTACAACCACGGGTCCGACGACGATGACAAATCGGAAAAGCACCTGGCCGCAAGAGTACACAACACGTATGTAGCTCGTTGTCAATGCAACTATGAACGCAACTACAATATATCTAGACACAGAGCGCACGCATTTCAAGTTCCACTCAAAGGCGTCTTCTGTTAGTGCACAACGGCGAACTCCGATGAAAGCCGCGCCTGTCCTACAGCCACGGGTCCGACGACGATGACAGATCGGAAAAGTACCTGGCTGCAAGAGTACACAACACGTATGTAACTCGTTGTCAATGCAACTATGAACGCAACTACAATATATCTAGACACAGAGCGCATGCATTTCAAGTTCCACTCAAAGGCGTCTTCAAGCGTGCCACCAGAGCCAGCCCAGTGCCATAAGTGCCACGCCTGCGACGCAAAACGAATGTGGATGTCTCAAAGACGGTGTGTGAAAGATGGTGTGTGACAGATGGTGGTTGAAAAACGAAGGTGGATGAAAGATGGTGGTTGACAAGGATGTAAAGATGGTGTGTGAAAGATGGTGTGTGAAAGATGGTGGTTGACAAAGATGGTGTGTGAAAGATTCTGGTTGACAAAGATGGTGTGTGAAAGATGGTGGCTGACAAAGATGGTACGTGACAAAGATAGTGTGTGAAAGATGTTGGTTGACAAAGGTGGTATGTGAAAGATGTTGTGTGAAAGATGGTGGTTGACAAAGGTGGTGTGTGAAAGATGGTGTGTGTAAGATGGTGTGTGAAAGATGGTGCTTGACAAAGATGGTGTGTGAAAGATGGTGGTTAAACATGGTATGAAAGATGGTGTGTGACAAAGATGGTGTGTGAAAGATGGTGGTTGACAAAGATTGTGTGTGAAAGATGGTGTTGACAAAGATGGTGTGTGAAAGATGGTGTTGACAAAGATGTGTGATAGATGCGGAGGAGGCGGAGGTGGCGGAGGAGGAGGCGGCGGGATACAGAATCAAAAACAAAAACCCCACACAAAGACGTGGGGAAGGTGTAATTTTTAAAAACAATAATAATGATAATATCATATGTGTATATATATATAGACACATATAACATGTATGTAGCAGTATATGGGTTTTCACAATCATTGATCTATGAATACAAACTAGCTACATATAGGGAAAATACACCAGATACATTAAAACATGTCGCAAATTTACGTGTTTTTCAAACGGTGCGCGAATACAATTGTCCTTAAGCTCATCCACTGCATGACCTTTTGCAGCTACCCGGCCGTGTCCAAATGTGACCCTTGTTCAACTGATCTCGCAACTCTAAACCCATGGGCCAGCCCATGTGTCCCTTGCCGTGCTGTCAGTGTACTGGACATGTGCATTTGCGTCGATGTGTATTAAAAACATTTTTGATGTAGATGTTGCCCAGTGCCCGGATGCTCTAAGCGTGGACCGGAATCGAAACCCTTGCCTCATGGCATGGAGCCTTGAGTCCACTCGTTTCCTTCCAACCCCCTGCATAATTTCATTTCCGTCTCAAAGAAGCTAGTTCAGCCTGGCCCGGCTGCTGGCTTTCACAAGTTCTGACGCAAATGTATTTTTTCTTTTTTTTGGGTACACGGGAAATCCACCAAAGAGAATCTGACATGGCTATTGGGTCGTATGGTACAACCTATCATCGCTGAAGTGTTTTGGAAAAGTCGGCATCTCGCTTGGTTCATCCCAGAGTTCTTAGCCCGTTCTTGCTAGTGGGGGTAATATATCACATGAACTAAGCAAACCTCTTGCTTGTATCTTAAAATGTTTGGCCACCAAAGTTAAATTCCTATTGTGGAATTGGGGCGTCTTGGGAATCCGTGGCTGGAAATCCGATCGGCTCTTTCCCTTTTAACGGTGGTTTCCTCATAGAGCGAAGCAAAAATGATGGGCCCCAGCACACGCGCCATGGCGCCGAAGGAAGCCATCGCACCTACCCGCGGGCAACTTAGCAGGCGGCTTTGAAAACGAAAGGACCAGAAAACCCCACATGTTAAGCCTTCCGATTGTTATGGGATGAAGGTGGTGGCTCGGATGGTGAGAGCAGACGATGATTGGACGGGAAAGAGGCAGGTGGATAGATGAATGGATGGATGGATGGACAGATAAGAAAGAAAGATAGAAAGATAGATAGATAAATAGAAAGATAGATAGGAAGAAAGAAAGAAAGACAGATAGATAGATAGATCGGTGGATAAGATAGAAAAGAAATATAAGACACACAAGATAGATTAGATAGATAGATAGATAGATAGATAGATAGATACATAGATAGATAGATAGATAGATAGCTGGATAGATAGATAGATAAATAGATAGATAGATAGATAGATAAATAGATGGATAGATAGATGGATAGATAGATAGATAGATAGGTAGATAGATAGATAGAAAGACAGAGAGAGAGATAGATAGATAGATAGATAGATAGACAGACAGACAGACAGATAGATAGATAGATAGATAGATGGATAGATCGCTAGCTAGATAGATAGATAGATCGCTAGCTAGCTAGCTAGCTAGCTAGCTAGATAGATAGATAGGTAGATCGATAGATCGATAGATAGATAGTTAGACAGATAGATAGATACATAGATAGATAGACAGATAGACAGATAGATAGACAAACAGACAGGCAGCCAGTCCATACACAGGGAAGCCTTTATGCAGGAAGGCCTTTACACAGAGCAGCTTTCGCACCAAGCACCTTTTACACACAGAAGCTTTTACACAGAGAAGCCTTTATACAGAGCAGCCCTTACGCACAGAAGCATCTACACAGAGAAGCCCGTGCACACAGAAGCTGAAAGACAGACAGACAGACCAGCTTTTACACATAGAAGCTTTTACACACAGAGCAGCTTTTACACACAGAAGCTTTTACGCAGGGAAACACTTACACAGAGCACGCAGGCACTTTTACGCAGAGCAGCTCTTACACCCAAACGCTTTTACACACAGACACTTTTACACACAGAAGCTTTTACACAGGGAAGCCTTTGCACAGAGCCGTTTTTACACAGAATACTTACACAGAAAAGCCTTTACACACCGAATCTTTTACACAGGGCAGCTTTTGCACAGACAACTTTTACACACAGATGCTTTTACACACAGAGCAGCTTCTACACACCGAAGCCTTTACAAAGAGAAGCCTTTACACAGAGACGCTTTTACACAGACACTTTTACACACAGACGCTGTTACATAGGGAAGCCTTTGCACAGAGCAGCTTTTACACGCAGAAGTATTTACACAGAGAAAGAAGCCTTTACACACAGAAGCTTTTATGCAGGGCAGCTTTTACACAGAAGCCTTTGACAAACAGACGCTTTGGACACACAGAGCGGCTTTTACACCCAGACGCTTTTACACACGGACGCTTTAACACACAGAAGCTTTTACACAGGGAAGCCTTTGCACGAGGCAGCTTTTCCACACAGAAGTACTTGCACAGAGAAGCTTTTGCACAGAGGCTTTTTACTCACACAGAAGCTTTTACACAGAGAAGCCCTTACACAGCTTTTACGCACAGAAGCTTTTACGCAGGGGAGCCCTTGCACAAACCAACTTTCACACGAAGGCGCTTTACACACGGACGCTTTTGCACAGAGCAGCTTTTACACACAGAAGCTTGTACACACATTGGCTTTTTGCGCAGAGCAGCTTTTGCACACAGACGCTTCTACACACAGACACTTGTACACACAGAGCAGCTTCTACACACAGAAGCTTTCACACAGGGAAGCCTTTGCACAGAGCAGCTTCTACACACAGAAATATTTACGCAGAGACAGAGAGGCCTTTTACATACAGACGCTTTTACACGGGGCAGCTATTGCTCAGAGGCCTTTTCCACACAGAAGCTTTTACACAGAGAAGCCTTTAGACAGAGCAGCTTTTGCACACAGAAGCTTTTACGCAGGGAAGCCCTTACACAGAGCACCTTTCACACAAGGCGCTTTCCACACAAACACTTTTACACAGAGCAGCTTTTACACACAGAAGCCTTTTACATATCAAAGCTTTTACACAGAGCAGCTTTATACACGCAGAAGCTTCTACGCGGGGAAGCCTTTTACACACAGAAGCTTTTACACGGAGACCGGCCGCAGCCTCTCAGCATCCACACACTTTACGGAGACTCTGCAAGTGTCGCGCCTGCCACGCGGAGCAGCCATGGTGTCGCGCGTGCAGAGACTTTGTACGGAGACTCTGCAAGCGGCGCGCTTGCCACGCGGGCCATGCGGAGCAGCGGCGTCCCAGCGTCCAGAGACGACGGAAGCTCTCACGCAGAGCAGTGGCAGTCGCGGTGTGCTAGCATCCAGCTGCGGCGTCCCAGTGTGTAAAAGCGCACGGAGGCTCTCCAAGTGCCGCGCCTGCCAAGCGGAGCAGCCGCTGCGCCCCAGCATCCAGCCGCCGCGTCCCAGCGCCTAGAGACCTGTGCCGCACCTGCCACGCACAGCAGCCGCATCGTCTACGGAGACTCTCCCAGTCCCGCGCCTGCCACGCGGAGCCGCAGCGTCCCAGCGTCCAGCCGCGGCATCCCGGCGTCCAGAGACTGTACGGAAATCTCTTCAAGTGCCGCGCCTGCCATGCGGAGCAGCAGTTGAGACAAACAAGTTGATACAGATGAATGATAGAGAGAATGCTACAGAAGCGACAAGTTCTTATAGAGCGGCTGAGACAGAGAAGTTGATACAATACAGATGAATATGGCGGTGAGACAAGTTGTGATAGAGGCAAGTTGATAGAGAAAAGTTGATACAGAGGAAAATGATAGAGACAAGTTGATAAAGAAACGGCGGGACATACGGAAGCGGACGGGGGCGGACGGGAGCGGATTGCCAGCAAAAAATTAGAACTCCACATAGTGATGTGTGGGAAAATGTGATTTCAATTTGCCAATAAGGGAGTTCAACCAGTTCAAAGAACAAAGCGGCTAGGCCAGAAAGAAAACAACAGCATACAGTTTGGTTTATCGTGCGTTCCAGAGGGTTTGTGTGGGTTTCCCCCAAACCATTTCTGCACAAAGACTGACTTGACAACACGCTGAACAGAACAGCGAAACATATCCGACGTGTGAGGTGCCAAGACTTCCCGAGCAAATTGAAAGGTTTAGAGCCAATCTCGATGATCATCGGTGCCCAGTCTCTTTCCAGAAACTTGAAAATATTTCAACTGAAGGGGAATCGGACATTAATTGAGAATCAAACGTTGGCAATCCACAATTTCTCGCCGGATTCAAATACTAAATGATACTAAATCCAAAGATGCCCCATTGTTGGGGTTTCCACCATTCCTACATGGGCATCCAATCAAGATCATGGAGCGCGATCCAAGACCGACAGCTTCAGGACCCGAAACACCCAGAAACCTGCAAACGATCACCTCAAATCCGGCCATGCCTAGACAGGTGCCGTAAGCAGAGGGTCCAGCAACTTCTGTCAACAAAGAAGTGACATTCGGCGCTCCCAAGTTGTCCTTCGCGTGCACGAACCGGCCATCGCAATACATTACCACTATAGAGACCACGTTTTTCCGTATAGTATAGATGCATATACCTTCGCCTTTTGCACACAGGTTCTTGTATGTTCTTGTACATGAATTTCATTTGAAACCCTGGCAATAACCGGCTCCCTCATATCAGGGACCAAGTCATTTCACACGTCGGGTGAAAGTCAACTAAAATTTTCGGGGATGCGCGTCCGACCGCAAGTTTCAAGCATTATCAAAATGCCGAGCATCTCCCACATTGGTCATTCCTGGCAGAAACAAAGTAGTTCATTGCGAGCACGCTAGCAGGATCATAATGACCAAACCCAAACAACACAAACGAACTGGAAAACAAACACTTGAGCAGTCATATTAGTCAATGCTTTCTCTTGTGTCTATTGTATTCTATTGTCCATTTCTATTCGAATTGAACGCATCGCCTAGCCTAGCCCGTTTGTCAAGCTTACGGGTTCGGCGCGCGGGTTTTTGGTTTCGCCTTTTGCCATTTCAAGGAACAAAAATTTGGCAAGCATGTGGCAAACAGCGGTTTAGCTATAGAAAGAATCGAAGGCGCGCACTGCAGGTACAGGTTCGCGCGTCCATACCTTTCCAAACCTTCCGCAGCTTCGTCGGGCAACGTCAGAAGATGGGTCCTTCCGGCCGAATAATTTTGGAGATGTTGCAAGAAGGAAAGCCAGCCAAAGAATAAAAAAAAGACATTGGAAAAGGGGGCGTAGACACACACACACAGGCACATGGTCGGTAGTTTGACAATGCAGCAAATGATGCGAACATGCGGAAGCAGATCGAAAGCCTTCTTATGCAGAGTTCCATGACTGGGGGTCCTATGCAATGCACACTCTCTACAACCTAAAGAACAAGACGCCAAGGCCCAAGCCAAAACAAACCTTGCGGAAACCATGTAATTTCCAAATTTGACAACTCCAAAGTTCAAAAGGCTGCTCATTGTTTCCTTTTTTTTGCAAATCCAATTTTTTCAATTCATATTATGAATTGGAAGCAGAACATTTTTTTTTTTTGGGGGGGGGCGTCAGGTTTTGTATTTTTGTTCCCCAAGCAGTGTCCGCACACACACACACACACTGAGGGGTTCTTACGGTTGGAGTTAAGGCCGGTGCTTGATCAGGGTGCTCCATCTATGGTCCGGTGTTTTCCCTGTAAATTCTCGCATAAAGTAAGTTTTTCGGGATGTCCATGTAAATTTCGATTGCACAAGCTCTATTGGCCTGCGGCATTTTACCCATAAATTCTCGCATAAAACTGCTCTTGCGAATTCTCCGTGTGCATCTCGACCGCGCAGGCTCGCGGTCTTGGTCTGCGGCATTCTACCTGAGAATTCCTGCGTAAAACCGCTCTTCTGACATGTCCAAATGCATTTCGCCTGCGCAGGCTGGCGCAAAACGGCTGCCCGGCCCTCATACACTGCATTTTCTTGACAAATCCCGCATAAACCAGCTCTTGTGACATGTCCATGTGCATGTCAAAACGGTTGTCGCAGTCTTGGTGTGTGGCATTTTACCTGGTGTGCCTTTCGACTGCGCGGGCTCGCTCAAAACGGTTGTCCCTGAGAATTCTTTTATAAAGTGGCTCTTGTGACATGTCCATGTCCGATCTCTATGAGAAGATCTTGTGGAGATCCTGGCGAGGTCCTCTCTACGAGGTCCTTGCATGCTCTGGTGCAGCTCCTTATGAAAAAGTCTTGTGCAGATCCGGGTGGAATCCTCTTCTGTGCAGATCCTTATGCCCAAGTCTTGTGAAGATCCCGCTGAAATCCTTTAAGAGGACCTTGCGTGATCTTGCATAGATCCTTACCAGTAGTACCGCACAAGGCTGTGGCGGAAGTTTCAAAAATAGGAAACCTATAGGAGAGATTGATTTTTGTGAACCAGGGATGGCAGAGCGAATCCACTGATGGACCGAAAGGTGCTTGAGGTCTCCTCTCTCTCTCTTTCTCTGACTATCGACCCACCTACCAACCTATCTTCTATGTATCTATCCATCTATCGATCTATCTCTCTCTCTCTCTCTCTTTCATCTAACTACCTATCTACCTATCTATCTATCTATCTGTCTGTCTATCTGTCTGTCGACCTGTCTATCTGTGGTGCAGTGTCATTCAGTGTAATGTAGTGTAGTGTAATGTAGTGTAGTGTAGTGTAATTTAGTGTAGTGGAGTATACTGTAGTGGTATTGTAGCGGAGTGTAGTTGTGTAGTTGTAGTTGTAGTGTAGTGGAGTGTAGTGTAGTTGTGTAGTTGTAGTTGTAGTGTAGTGGAGTGTAGTGTAATTCCCCACATTGACGTGTGGGGTTTTTGTTTTTAGTTCTGTATCCGCCTTCCTCCTCCTCCGCCGCCTCCCGCCTCCCGTCCCCTCCACTCACTCACACAACACACACTCACCCTCACACTCACACTCACACTCACTCTCACTCTCACTCTCACTCTCACTCTCACTCACTCACTCATTCACTCACTCAAATCACTCACCTCACTCACCTCACGCACCTCACGCACCTCACGCACCTCACGCACCTCACGCACCTCACGCACCTCACGCACCTCACGCCCACCTCACGCACCTCACCACCTCACGCCCCTCACGCACCTCACGCACCTCACGCCCCTCACGCACCTCACGCACCTCACGCCCCTCACGCACCTCACGCACCTCACGCACCTCACGCACCTCACGCACCTCACGCACCTCACGCACCTCACGCACCTCACGCACCTCACGCACCTCACGCACCTCACGCACCTCACGCACCTCACGCACCTCACGCACCTCACGCACCTCACGCACCTCACTCACCTCACTCACCTCACCCACCTCACTCACCTCA